CATGGTGAAATAGGCGTTATTGTGTCCATTGATGCATTCCACCATCCGGTTCATTTAGGGATCTCCGGATAATATATATCTATGTAGTAATGTGAAAATTTTTCATAGACTTTCCCTTTCTTCAACTCCAACCCCAACCTCAATCTTAACCTCTCCTCCCTCCTCCCTGCTCCCATTCCTTCTCTATAGAACTCACGACCGGCAACCCTGAAGCGTCGTGGCAGCATATACTCGTCAGCCTATGTTAGCGCGATTGACGTATTTACGCAAGTTTGATTATATCCGTCGCGTATTGGGGATTCCCCAAATGTTATCTGGAAGTTTCTGGCAACTCTTCCGATCCTCCGCCTAAAGGGTACCTTTCTTAAAGGCGAATTTGGTGATACGTTAACAAACCTCTTTAGTAATGAATGTCAAAACAACAACTTTAAATTAATCAGATTCAAACCCGGGAAACCATATATTGGAATAACCGACACCACGAGACTGACCTGGACATCGACTTTTGATATTCCATTGTTGGCAAACTATGGTGAATAGAGCCGTAATATTTTTCATGCGTCATCATCAATGTAAATGCAATTATTCCAATAATTATTTTGCAAAACCAGGGTTTTCAATTAAGCCGCCTGTGGGAATGGTAGACGCCACCTCCCCCGACGTCAAAGGCCCTACGCTTAACCAAAGGACGGTCTTCCGTTCAGGCCTAGGCCTACCTTTTTTCGTTCAAAATAAACGGAATCCTCGATTCACTGGGCCAATGAGGATTAATCCTTGGTCTTACAGACATCTCTTCCAGGAAGTGGGACGTACGACCAATCGCAGGACTATTCACTTTCTCATGGCTCTTGGAGCCATGGGGTACGAGTAACGTTAAACCGATAAGAGGTCGGTTTCGTGTTTCATGAATCATTTCGGTGTCGATGAAGAAACGTTTGGCCTATATAGAGTTCTTCGAGACGCCTCAATGAGTTCTGAGAAGAAAATGCCTCTTCGAAGCATGGAAAGCAACGTGGACGCAATTCTGTTCAATTACGGTTGTTTAAATGAGATATCACCACATCTTACCAAATCGGTCGACCACTGCTAGCCACAATTTCAATATTAGCTCATGCCATAAACTTAACACAAATTTATATTATACATTAAAAAGCATAAGATCCAGACACCGATGTTAAGGCCAATGCCAATCATAAAGGCGACTAAGGTGCGACATCTGCACACAACTGAAGACTCGACTGGAGCCATCACGCTAAGCCAAAACTAACGGCATTAACTCTCATTTCTCATGACGAAATGGTGCTCTGGAAGCAACAAACATGACACTTTTTGTCGCATATAAGTAATTATATTTCGTTTGGTGTCTTTTTTTCCCCTGAAAACTTCCCATTAGCGGCTCCCAGGAGTGGAGAAAAGAAACCCGGAATGAATTTAAAATTTCCGAAACGCGAGATTAAGTGATCCACAAACCCGAGGAGATATAGAGTTTCAAAAATGCTTGAAAGATTGTGTTGAGAGAGGAAGAAGTATGTAAAATTTCGTTTCCTGCTGATCCTCTTAGAAAGGAAGACGAGACACTTGAATTTTGTCGCTGGGAGGGGTTGAAGAAAGGTAATAGGCGCTACCTCGCCTATTAACTTTCTTCAAATATGTCAATCAAATCAAATATGTCCCATACTATTAATATAAAAAAACAAAAGTTAGACGGCGATGCGAAGACTAAAGCAGTGAATCTACAATCTTTAGTGAAGCACTGTCTTTAACCGCGACGGGAACGGTAGCGCGAAAAATTATAACATATGATCATTGCCAACATTAACCAAAGCAACAACTTCCATCGCCGACGATGTCTCTTACTCTCATTGTTGGTTACAAACTCTTCGCCCGAGAAGGCATTCAGTAGAATGCTATTTTTACCGTCAAAACTAGAACCCATGACGTCAACATGTTAGAACATTTTCAATTTTCGACCCAATAGTTTTCGCCATCAGGATATAAGCTTTCAAAAGACAACTATAATATTACAATGAGGCACACTGAACGAATTGGGAGTTCTCTGAAATCATATGGAGAAATGGAGAATTGTTCCTGTAATCAGAGATTAACAATTTCCCTTTGCTACAATATCCATTGAAATCCGTCCCAGTATTCTAAAGCGAGACTATTTTCACATTCAAATAAACGTGCTTTCAATCAATTATACAGGGATGCCATTCGTCCCATATGCATACAGGCGTTTAGGGAAACTCCAATCGCATATGTACAAATTTTCAGCGAGTTTCGCTTTATATTCCTAAAGTTAGACCTGTCGTTTAATTTAAGAACGCCCTGTAGGATGGGGAAGATTTTGAGCTCGGCTGGGATGCGGATCGGCTTGATAGGATCGATCTGACCCATTCATTGGTCGTGAAGGTTGGTTTGCAATAAGATTTCCGATCGCATGCAAGCGAGCTCTGAAACTCAGAGAAAAAAGCAGGCTTTAGACCGATCCGCTCAGCAATCAAGTTTCAGGAGAAGAGCGGGTCATGATGTGTATACAGTCAGGGAAGGCGTTCAGTTAAGTGCTACTCTGATTGTCCGAAATTTAGCCTAATAACATGAAAACGAGACGGGTTTTGGACTTTTCATCCAATAAATATTGCCTCCCGTCATTAGCTTTCGATTGAAATTTAACTCATGAAAATCGATCCATTCACCTCGGAGATATTTACCTGATGCGATAACATGACATAGACAGATTATCTTCTTATTAATAATGTATATGGATTTGAAATAACCGGGCATCCAACTCACACAACCCACCCATAATAGAGTTTTTAGGAAATAAATTAAATTTCCAATTCATCCTCGGGTGCATGTTTGTTGGGATGTCATTTTCATAGCTTTTTTTTGCCCTAGCGAATCGGGCAGAAATGAAAGGTGATACATGATACCCACAGAACTAACATGGTGCTGAGTTCAGGAAAAATTAACATTTCGTGGTGCATCCCGTCGGGGCACAGCTTTTGCATTTGTCGTCTTTCAAAATATGTTTTTTCACCAGCGAAGAGGTAAGTGTAAGTCTGAATCTCTGTGGGGACAGAGTTCTCTGAGTGCCGATTTAAGTAAAATTTTTTTTGGCAAAACCTCTCATGGCACATATTTCTTGAAAGTTGCATTTTCAAAGATCTTTTCAACCTAACAAGACAGAGAACGATATAAATTTGATAATTGGCTTAGAAGTACTTGTTTGATTGCTCAGTGCAGAACAAATCCTACTTTTGAGATGTATCTCTTCGAGGAAAATTATGTAGTGGGAGTATTTCAAGATTTCTTTTCCGTTCTGGAAATAAGAGGAACAATAATACATTTGAAGCAAGGCCCACAATAAATCATCGCAGTAATGATTACAGTAATCAAAAATCTCGATTACGTCTCCCCAAGGCACATATTTTGAGAGGGACGTGGTTTGAATAGGTTTTTTCCACTTCGGAATAATTAATGAGTTAGTCACTACCTTTGATAATGTAGCACCGAAGGCCCAACCATAGCGAGTTTGTTTGCGCGAAGGGCAAACAAGCTCGCTAATATGGATGTATGGATCTAAATCGGCCGTCGGTTATTCTCCCCCGGCAAATCTTCAACGTTGACATCTGAGGAGTTTTTATAGTGTTGACTGCATTCAGAATGGCGGGGAAGGGTTGGGCGCATGCCAGTGAAAGGATGGTGGGATGGAGGAAGTGTAAGGTTTCACCATGTGGGAAATTCACAGTGTGAGTTCCCATACCCAACCGAATTAACAGTGTGGAGATGGTGTGGGATTGTTTATAAGGGGATGATTCCCTTGTCGATAACAAGTTTCCCGTTAGGCCATTAAATGTTCCATCTGCTAGAAATCGAAGGAATAAGAGGACCTGTGATAGGGGGAAGGAGGGGGAGCGAGAATTAACCTGAAGTAATATTCTAATCATTTTCGTAAATTGATTAAAACCAGTGAAAGTAGGATACATAGCAATAGAAGTATCCATACTAGGGAGTATTCAGTGTATCTCATGAGTCATCCAAGAATTCCACACTCCCTATCTCGAAACCCTGAAACTGCGACGCGTATTATCTGGCCGACATAAAGTTGTGGCTTAAGTCATTTCTTGTTACAAATTGCGTAAATTCTGAGTAGACGCATGAATACCAGTGGAAGAAGAATTACAAAAGGCGTGAGGTTACACTTTATTTTCATGGAACCAACCCCTGCTTCGAAGAAATTATACTGTACAGTATTAGAATGAGCCTAGAATGTCCTCTTTGTATTCTAGCTTAACTCACCTAATTACCAGTTATGTTCAGATGTCCCTGGGTCATTTTTAGGCCTTCCTGTGACGTCCTCATTAAGTATCCAAAGGTAGTTTTGATGTTGTTTTGGTGTTCACTGTAGGACACTGCTTAGAAGCTACTATATGCTACCCTATTATATGCACCTGTCTTATGGACATCCCTCCCGAAAAATTGCCCGCCCAGGGAAATATTCAGGAACAATCTCAAAGACATCCCTGGGATGTCCCATGGACCTCCGCATAACTTATGAGGAACATGTGTTTCAAGGATGTAATGGAGAAGTCGCTCTGGTTTTGGAGGTATTTATATTCATAGCATCAATAGGATATGCGCTGCAATACGTTATCCCCTCCAGAGTGAGGTAAATGTAATCCCCACATGTATATTAATTTCGCATTTCCTCTGGAGTCCATTGTTCCTTTAGTGTGAACTTAGGAGTGACTATGAACGACTTCTAATACGGAAATATCAGCTTACCTTTCAGTGGGCTTTCAAATATTCCGTGCAGTCGTCCAGCAGCACTCCTGTTGCCAAGTATGTAGAATAAGATTACCGAGAGAGACACAAAGTGGGTGACTCATCGGAAGACTGAGCTCTCTTCAGCCGTCACCCAGATAAGATAAGCTCCCTTTTTCCTGTTGCTCAAGTCAACGTGGCTTTTTCCTGGTGTGTATTTGCCACAAGTGAATCTATGTGAAGATTGAGGCTACGTGCTGCAACTCTGTTCAGAGGTAAACATTATTTGCCATTAAATATTTCTTTTAAGGGACAAGAAACTTCGTTACTGTTCTAAGGGAAACTTTGGTGCTATCAGTGAACTGCCAAAACGAAGTGGGAAAAGTACGCTTTCTCTCATACAAACCTTTTTCCAGCAATGAGGCGGAGTCATCTGGAGGATACTTACCGAACCCATGCGCATCATGGTGCCTCAGAGTCTTCTGTGATGCATTATGACTCGATTGGCTGTTAAATTGAATGCAACCGTGTAACTTAAGACATGTAGCCATGTAGACGAGAGTAAGGTTTACTGTTAAACAGAATTGATAATTATGCCATAAGGAAGACAGTTCTTTGCCGAAAGGGCCAGTTTCAATTATACAACACATCCTTGCACACTTGCTATCAAAAATATTTGCAATTTTTATAATAATTGACCGGGACATTGCAAGTTGAAATCAGACATATTGTATTAAAATTAAATCTTCACGTAACACGATGATTGTCCCCCTAAATCTTACAATTGATTTGAATAGTTGATAGATTTTTCTTTGGAATTTCCTAGATTTGCAGTGCTTTTCTTCGTTATTTCCCTTTTCAGTTAGCTTAGATCCCTATAACTCCCCCATTCTGAAAAAATGTAAAATAAAGGTCAACGTTTTGCGCCCCCCAGTTTGCGCTGCCATAGATGACATTGTATACTCCCATGTACTTGGGGCCTTTCGGATGTCCCAAGCATCCGAAAGGCCGGCATTGTGTGTAATCTGGAGATCCTGATTTGATATGGAAGGAGGTAATACGATGAAGGCATTGTTGAGAGGCATGATTAAATGCCCTGGGGTTGGTGGTGTAATGGTAGCACACTTGAACGGCAATCAGGAGGCCCAAGTGCAATTCCCGACCGTTCCTTGGCATATGTTCGTCCTTTCCTGTCCATCCAACCTCCCTACCTTCAGTTTGGCACGTCACATTACACCACCGCCTTCGGCCTCCTTCCATTTTTAGCATAAGGCCAAGAATGGCATATCATCATATGTATCATGCGTTAGGAGTGACAGGCACCACAACGATAGAGTAGACAGTGTAACTAGAGGCGACACTCCCAGGGGTAGGGGAGGGTTGAAATATTACAAAGACATCTGCTGGCTTGTTATCAACAACAATTCCATGAGGCGTGCATCGTGGAAGCGGAATCGGGAATCTACTCGTTCAGGGATTCGACCCAGAGGGATCCGTCAATGTAACGCGCGTCTCGTTGAGCCTGCTGCTCGGCCATGGAGGAGTTGTTGATGTGCGCTCGCCAGGTGGAGAATCGACAGCGACATCTATATTGCGACCCTGTCAATGAATGGGATTCGAGCGGAGGGTCGCCTCTAGTTATACTCTACTCTATGCCACAAATTTCCGCCTCTTTCAATGAAAGTATTAACTTTATTTCAGAGGTTCGCATTCAATCCCTGGCATGGCAACTCTATTTCTGCACCAAGTTTCGTTTAAATCGTATAGGATTTTCTTTTTACGGGCCATTGCGAAGAAATCGTACTTTTCTTTCAGGGAGTCCTTTCCTGACTCTTTCCTCTTCTTCACTAGTAAAATTTAAATTATTAAATAAATGAAATAAAATATGAAAAAATTATGTAGATGATGTTTCAAAGCCAGGAAAAATTTGCACACTTGCGAAAGTGACTCATTGCCCCATTCAAAGCCGAATATATTAATAATAAGATGGACATTCACTGAGAGAAGGGCTAGCCCTTGATCAGCCACAGGCCAGCACCCACTCGAGCCCTCTAACAGATATCTCGAAACTATTGTGAATTGCCTTACGCAAAAATTAACATTTTTACTGAAATCAGCACTGGGAGAACTACTTTCTTACCTAGGTTTAGTCTTATCCGGTTGCTGTTTCCTAGCGCCAAAAAAAATTTCGAAAAGCCGACGCAGTCAAAGCTGGATCAGGAGGCCCGGGTTCGATTCCTTTCCGTTCCCCGCCTTTTTTTCGTCCTCTCATGCCATCCAACTCTCCCCTTCCGGCCAACTGCATTACAGTACTGCGGGAAAGTCCCATTCCTGGATCACTACAGCAGGTATTAATAGTAAGTAATATTATTTTGATTAAATTTTCATCAAAAATAAGTTTTGAAAAGATGAAAACATTTTTTAGCAATGCGTTTTTCTTTACTCCAAAATAATTTAGAAAGTATTCAAAGCGTTTAATAAGTGAAGGTAATAAAAAGGGAAAGGGTTCCGATTCGGTCTCATGTTACTTAATTAAAAAGAAAATAAAGTTCAAGGGATGAGGTAGGATTGAAACTGTGGGCAGTGGTATCCAATCGGTAGGGTGTAATAAGGACATGCTGTGCTGATGCTATGCAACATGCATTCGAATTCCATAATAAGTTTCCCTGCGGACAGTCAAAATGATAGGTCTTCTATATGCAGTTTGCGCCAAAAGTTCTGGAACCAACTCTTTAAAAATATTTAAGTGGAAACAAAAGGAAAACTCACCGCTGAAGGAATAATATGATAAAGAAGATAAGTTAGAACAGTGGTGTAAAGATCATTTTCAAATTGACCGTCTTTGGCTTAATGATAGCTTCCAAACGACGAGGAAACCGGTCGACGATGGCGCGCAACGCGTTTCGTCTATTTCCGGAGCAGATCGCGCTTCAATGAATGCACGCTTTTGTGAGATTTTAAACTGTTCAGTTTAAGCAACCTTTTTGCTGCAGCATTGCCCAAATGGAATAGTCCATTGGGTTCATGTCGAGCTAGATGACCATCCATTCGACCGTGGTGAAGAATCCCCTACAAATCTTTTTGGGAAACTCAAGAGCGATTTTGGCTTTGTGCTAAAGAGCACAGTCCTGTTGAAAATTTCATTCACATTATCCAAAATGTTGTTGAGCCCACGAAACGAGGACTTTCTCCAATACAGTCTCAATGTAAACTTGAGCGTTGATTTTGACTCTGTTCTGAATGAAGACCAGTTGAGTCTTTCCGGTTGAACAAATATCTCCCCACACCATGGCTTGCCGCCTTTTGATGCTTCGACGGTCGATTTGGCCTGCTGAGCGATTCTCCTGAAGGACGCTAACATTTTGCGAGTTAAAGACGTCCTCTGTCCTGAAAGGTTTCTGATACGAAATGAGAACCATTCTATGATGGCCGTTTGCGATCAGACGTTTCATTAATTTTCATTTGCTAAGCCGTTGTTCAATATTTTTTCCGTCAATATTTGTGCCTTCTGCTGCTTGTAAGGGCGAAGATGGAGTTCGTCCTTGACGATACGACGCACAGTTCGTTCGTTGATCTTCATTTCTCTGGCCATATTCCTCATTGAAAGTATTGGATTTCTTTTGATCCGAGACTGGATGGTTTTCTTGTCCTTCTGTGTGTTCGCGTTTCTTGGACGGCCAGATCTTTGCCGGTCTTCAGCAGTACTCAGCTCTTGAAACCGAATAACAGCTCACCAGACTCCTCTTCTTTGAATCTCAAGCAAAAGTAGAAATTCGAGATTGCTTTTGCCCTTCTTGTGCAGCTCGATTATTGAGATTTGCTTATCTTATTCAGACATCTGAGGTTATTAAAAGAGGATAAAGGACGAAGACAATTTTTCAGAAAATATGCAAAAGCTTAGACGTATCCAGAAACAACACCTGAAAACATTTTACAATCGATAATGCACATTCGAAGGAACAAATTTCCGATGACAGAACTTATGAAAACAGTTATGGTTCTAGAACGTTTGCCACACCCTGTATACATTACTAGCGAAACAAACTCGCTGTGAACGAGCCTTCAGCGCGGTTCACTCCATAAAAAATTAATGACAATACATTTGAAGTATCCCATTTCGATTCTTATAACTACAAATTGAGTAAAACTGCCTTGATCCATAGATTTTTAATCGTAAGTTCAAGCTACGCGTGCTTGTGTGAAGTGACTTTCAATATGATGTTAGGAGCAGAATCAAACAGAGAAGATTCATAGATGCAAAATTGTCACTTTAGAGTTCATCACCTCAAAAACTTGATTTAGCACCTCAGAAGATAATTTTTTTTCTGAACTCACCATCACCTCAGCAATTGGCGTGCTAAGTTTCAGTTTTCTATTTCTGCCCTATTCGGTATGACAAAAAAAATATTTAAAAACATGACTACAAAAAATATGCCCCGAGGGCATGCATCCGAACTATGCAAATTTTCTTGTAAAGAGAGAATGCATCCAAAACTTGACATTTTTTTCTGAATTCAGGTTCCCAATAGGTACTTATGCATCAAGTTTCACTTTTCTATCTCTGTCCAATTTGGTAGGACTAAAAAATATATTTGAAAACGTCACCACTAAAAATGTTCCCCAAGGGCATGCATATGAAATTTGATATTTTTCCTGAACTCGTATCTCAGTAGTCACGTCCATGCCAAGTCTCAGCTTTCAGTGTCTCTCAATTTGACTGAAGCAAACATATATAATTGAAAACATTTCTCCCTAAAGTAGGTGTCCCTAGGGCATGTACCTGCAAAGTCTGATTTTTTTGTGAACTCTGCATGCAACTCTGGGGGGAGAGCCGTCCTCTTGAAAGATGATATCGGGTTGTAGTTCTTCAATCTTTGGGAATGCGAATTCTTTCAACATGTCTAAGTAAATTTGTAGAGTTCATTAGGTCCTCCGCAAAGAAAAAGGGACCCACCAAGCGGTCATGGAGCAAACCACACTTCATATTGACCTTTGGACTGTCGCATATGGTTTCTATGACATGGTGGGGGTTTTCAGAGCTCCAGATCCTCACATTGTGCCGGTTGACCTTGCCCGACACATGAAAACAAGCTTCGTCTGTGAACAATACCTTTTTCAGGTAATGTTGGCCATTCTCAATGCGGCTGAACATTTCCACGGCAAATGCCTTGTGTTTGGGGTTGTCATATAGTTGGAGTGCCTGCAGTATCTGCACATTATAGGCATAAAACTTTAGTATTTTATGCAGAATCCTGTGCAAAGTGGTGGTTGATAC